GGGGTCATCTTTGTCTTCTCCAACGTCGACCTGAAACAGATACGGTGGCAAACAGATTAATAAAGAGCTATTAAAATTAATTATATCAACTATTCTCACCTTAATTAATTATAGAATGTAACATTCCGAAGTTTACAGGTGTGAAAAGTAAACCAACTCCAGAATTCAAATAAGTATCCACTTGCTTTCACTCATGGGTTGAAAATTAACTGCATGATGTTACAAGGCGAAGACGAAACAGCAAATCAAGAATAATAATCCACAAAAGACCACACCCATGTGAACATTGGCTTTTCAGTACATCCAAACTGAACATCAATTCTCTCTCATTTATTGTATAACCTACAGAAAAGAACAAAGGACATATTAATTACACTTATAAATAAGAAACACATTTAACACAACTAAAAACGCACCAAAAAGCAAGCAAAATAGCTGAATTATAAACTCGCCATTTTACATCACAACCATAGATCACGACATAGATAAATGTCAAATAACACTACGTCAATTTACGATGCAGACAATAGAAAAAGAATAGAAAATCCATAGATCAATGATAAATGTCAATTTACTCTGTGAAAAATAAACTGTCAAGAGATACAGATGAACAATAACCTCAATTTATGCTGTTGACAATAGATAATTGCTAACAGAAATTCCATAAAAGATTAATAAAGAGCAATTAAAATTAATTATATCAAGTATTTTCACCTTAATTAATTGTAGAACGGAAAGTTCCAACGTTTACAGGTGTGAAAAGCAAACGAACTCTAGGAGGAATACCACAGCAGAGAATTTGTTATTTAAGTGGAATTCAAATAAATATCCACTTGCTCTCACTTATGGGTTGAAAATTAACTGCATGATGTTACAAGGCGAAGACGAAACAGCAAATCAAGAACATAAACCACGAAAGACAACACCCATGCAGACATCAATTCTTTCTCCTTTGTACCATAAGCTGCAGAAATGGACAAAAAGACATATTAATTACACATATAATTAAGAAACATATTTAACATAAATAAAAATGCACCAAAAAGCAAGTAAAATAGCTGAATTATAACTGTTATTTTCACGCCATTTTACTCACAACCATAGATCACGACATATATGTAAATGTCAAATAACAGGACGTCAATTTATGATGAAGACAATAGAAAAAAAATCTCAATAGATCAATGATAAATGCCAATCTATTCTGTGGAAAATAAAAACTATCAAGAAATATAGATGCACAATAACCTCAATTTATACTGTTAACAATTAATAATTGTTAACAAAAATTCCATAACAGATTAATAAAGAGCAATTAATATTAATGAGTCAAGTATTCTCACCTTAATTAATTGTAGAAAGTGGCGTTCTGAAGTCTACCAGTGTGATGAGCAAACCAAATCTAGAAGGGATAACATTGCAGGCAATTTGGTGTTCCAGACAAACGGAATATCATAGCAAAAAACTTGTTTCAGCGAAATTCATATAAATCTCCTCTAGCTCTCACTCATCTGTTGAAAATTAACTGCATAAAGTTGCAAGTTGAAAACAAAAACAGCAAATCAAGACAAGACATTAGCTGTTTCAAAACCATCAATTTGAACTTTAATTCTCTCTTTCTCTCCATTTGGACGATCTGCAGAGACGAACAAAACGAAATATTAATTACAGAAGAAATTAAATAAAGTAAAAAAAGTCCTTTAGATTTGCCCTCTATGCTTATTGATTATGTTTTAATACAAACTGTTTGAGACAATTTAATATTAGTTATATCTTTACTAAGTTAATTAATAATATTATTAATGATAATTACCATTGTTAATATTGATGTCTTCGGAATTTTTCGACCACCTCATTAGCATTCTTGGAAATAAAAATAAGTCTGACTGCTGCAAACGCTAGATCCATAAATAGTTTGGCCATCTAATCCAACAATGTTATCTCCAGGTAATGTCTATATTGTAGAAAAAAACAAGTCGTTAAGACTCAATTTACAGAAAAACAAGGCAAAAATGAAATTTTTTCCAATAGAAATTTATTAGAATTTTAATGAGAGAACGAATATTTTTGAAAAATATTTTGCACATTTTAGCTATAAACCGAAACAATACGAAAAATCTGCGATCATCGCCTAAACTCGTTTTTAGAATTCAGAAACTCTAACAAAACCCTAATTACTTTGCCTCAAATAAATTGAGAATCTGTAATAATTCGTAACAGATGAGTAGATAGCCAAATTGCCAAGATGGACCCTCATGTTGGACCACGAAACCCAAGCCATTGAAAAAAACATTTATGCCTAAGAAAACTAAGCAACGGTAATCGATACATATCAATCACTAAATAGATTGATAGAAGCATATTTCACACATTCGAATGAGTAGCGAATAAGAATTAGGGCTAAATACCTTCAACCATCGTTTCCATTTAAAGAGAGCAAAACTGAAACAATCTTAACGAAGCACACACCAAGGACAAAATGAGACGACACATGACACGACAGACGAGAAACACCGGAAGAACCGTAGATAAAAATTATTTCTATAGGTGCGTTCAATTATACTAACCTAAATAAGTACTGATCTTCCGTAATAAAACTAAGAGGCTAACAGCATATTTTAATTACAATATCAATCTCTAAGAATGACCTATGTGTATAACGACCTCATATCTGTTGTATGATATCTATGATTGTCAATGCATGATGATGAATAAATAACGGATAACCTATATACTATAATTAATTTTATGAAAAATTACAAAGAAAGTCTATGTAGTATTTATGTATGTAGTATTTACAATGGTTAATTTTTTCTTGAAAACAATATCAACAGGATTTAATCGTGCTGTTCAAATTAATGGCTTACAAAGATGTTTAACTGTTACATCTAAACAATTTTATCATTGTAGTAAGGAAAATTTGGAGGCAGAGAATGAAACACGTTCAGTCAGTTATGTACGTACCGATTCTGACTACGGTTTTGGAAGACGTTTTGTTGTCAAGAAGATAGAAGAACTTTTTAAACTAAAATATTTTGAAGCATATGACATAGCTTCAAATAACAGAGAGTTGTGGAAAGTGACTGGTAAACTAATGACCAAGAATTATAATTTATGTAAAAGTAATGATGTACCTGACGAAGTTTTGCTTAAATGTCCGACTATTCTTGCTCAAAAAGATCTCGAAGAAAAACTTGAATGTTTAAAAGATCTTTGGATTCCAATTTCAGAATGTATACCTCTAGTAGTTTTAAATATAAAAACACTTAAGTCATTGGTGGAAAATGACCCAGAAAATTTTTTACATCGGTTAAAACACTTCAGTGAATTATTTGAAGTATAAAATCAATACAAAAATTATATTAACATCTTACATGCCTAATTTCAGTTACCAACAACTGACATATGCAGCTTGTTAATAACAAAAACATTTTTAAAGAACATAGATTTAGACAAAGCTGAAAGAAATTATAAATTAATTCTAGGTAATGTAATGTCATATGCTTTACTCTAACTAACTGTTGAAATTTATAGATTACGGTATACCTAAGGAAGAATTACTTAGAGATGTATGGGCACTACGCTATAGCACTGAAAATATACATTCAAGGCTAGAACAAGGAAAACAGTCTAATATTGGAAGATTAAAGACATGGATGATTCGTGCAAATAAGGCTATTTATAATGGGTAATATTTGTGTTTCATGAAAGAAATAAAATATAAAGTAAATAAGAATGACACACAAATTGGAAAAAGTGTAACCTTTGCAATTATCCGCACACAACCTTTTTTCTGTCAGAGTTGAATATATAATATGGAGCCAAATATATGTATTTGCCTCATAATTTTAAACAAGGATAGTAGTATACCTGAACGATTCCCTTTTAAACAAATCATAAATTACCAGTTCAAAACATATATTGACCATTTAGTTGTAATATTACCTCAGTAAAAATAAGTTTTACAGGAGTGGATGGGTTCGATTTCAAAAGGCAATGTTATGCTCAACCTTTTAGAAAAGTCAATATTTAGCGCGAAACAATCGCAAATAGTAAAGTTAATGTTTGTGTATTGTTCTTATTTATAAAATTTTTTCGATGTAGTAGAGGACAATACTACCAAATAATAACATATAGTTTTCATTTTTTTAATTTTTTAGCTATATTAAAAGAAAAAATGAAAATAAAGAGATTCTTGGTGAATCTTCTGTAGAAGAATATTTATCAGAACGTCTACGGTGCTCCCCGGAACAAATTCAAGTTATTATTAACAGACACCCAGCATTAGAACACAAAAGCATGCCAAAATTGAATGAAATTATTGATTATCTCTTATCTAAAGGATTTCAACATTATCATATTGTACGAGCCCCAAAAATATTATTACATAGTTTAGAAACCACAAAATTAAGACTTGAAGAATTAGCAAAAATAGGAATAAAAGTGGAAAGCTTATACATATTAACTAAAAGTCAAAAACAATTCTTGCAATATTACGAATCACTAAAAACCAATCCTCAAAATCGATAATCAATAAAATATATCTTAATAGTTTAAGAAAAACTTTATATTTACTTAGTATAAGCTTAAATATTATATTAGTTCTGTGAAATGAAATAAACTGTTTATATATAAATCTGTTTTAAGGAAATTTTAATGCCCGGATAAAGAACCCAAATGATATTCTCCTATGTATCAATAATATTAATTCTCAAGTAAAAGTACAAAAAACTCACTTTTTTCACAATTATAGTTTTACACTTTTAGCTTTTGTCAACCAAGAGGAAGAACTGAATGTTATGAGTAGGATTGCAGCAGAAAATCTCGCCTGTAAATCTTGTTGATTAAGATCATGGGCCCATTCCACTCGCCCCCATTTTCCTAACTAAATTTCAAATTAATATTATTATAAACTTTAAATTACAACATCTATTATACTAAAAAAATTAATTAATTTGTAATTATGAAACCGGCTAAAAATTAATATCTCGAAAGCAACAGCCTTAAAAATTTTAAGTTACATATATTAATTAGCAAATCTTTTCCTGATAGTAGAATCCCGCTTTATAATCAATTGAAGAAAGATTTCGCGATAAACTATTTTGTAATTTCATACTTTTACTTCAAATATACATGTAGGGTTTTTTAGAGAATGGAAACGCCTTCAGCCCTTACTGAAATACTTTTTTTAAAAAGCAAAATTGAAATTTATCAGTACTTCACACAACAACCCCTTTAAAAAGTATGTCTAAGTTACATTACAAAATAAAAGTTATATCTACCTGAAATTCCTCTTCTAAACGAGACAGCAGCACCCCCTTCTCAGGTGTTAAATATTTTTCTACACAAGCTATAGTTAGAATAATTGATTTTACAGTATCAGCAGCATAGACGAAACCTAAAATTATATTTATACTGTGTATAATACCACAAACAACGCTCAATTTTATTTAGTACCATGCACAGCAGGAAAGTCATATGAAAGAAGATATTTACTAATTACATTCTTAACAGATTGGTCTATTACTAAACCTTGCATACTCCTTGATTTAGATATATTCACTTGGAATTTATCACAAAACCATTGAACCACAGGATCCCATTCTTTAACTTGTAGGGAGTATAATTCATCATCTTCCTTGACAACAAAATACAATAAAAAATACTCTTGTTTGAATACAATAAATTACTTACATTTGACTGAAAAAGTACTGTATCTGAATCTAAATAGTTAATGATGTATTGTACCATATCATATTTTGTTAAACTATTTGGATTGTCTATAACAGTGTTGCATAATGTAGTCTACAAAAAATTCATATAAATTCATTTANACAGAATGTAATAAAGTCAAATTATTACATGAAGCAGGAATTTCTAAATTTATGTTAATTAATATTTTACAAAATTGTGTAGATAAAAAGGATGAAATTAATTCTACACTGCATACTCACTACCTCAAACTGCGAGCAGAATATAAAGTTGACAGAATTGTCCCTTTCAAATACAATTGTTCTTTTGTAACTGAAGTTAAAACAAATCAAAATGTATTAGTATTAGGAGTTGCTTTGCAAACTGGAGAAGCTCGTCCACCTTGTTCATTAAAGTGTTCTGTAATTGTAACTGTTTTAAAACGTGACGATAAGCTGTATCAAGTTAGTAATGTTTTATCTAATTGCTATGTTAAATTTCGTAATTCAGTGATTTTGTCGCCTAATGAAACTTATAAATTTGTTATCACGTATATTTTGGATTCTGATGTTTATTGTGGAGTAACATCTCTTTATATGGATTCGTGCCTAAGAAATAAGAAGAATGGGACTTTTTTTGAGTTCTGTGATGATCCTAAGGGTTCCGTTTTAAAAGGGCTCTCCTTTTATTTAGTTTAAATCTTTACTAGATTAAGTTTACAGTGAAGATCTGATTGTTAATTTTTATTTTAGTTTTTTGACCATTTAATCAAAACATGTTAAGTGCTACCTAGGAAAATTAATTTATTAAGAGCACCATATATTTACACTGATTTTAAATTTTATTTGACTGAAAAAGTACTGTATCTGAATCTAAATAGTTAATGATGTATTGTACCATATCATATTTTGTTAAACTATTTGGATTGTCTATAACAGTGTTGCATAATGTAGTCTACAAAAAATTCATATAAATTCATTTATAAAAATTTCTTCTGATATTACTAAATGCATATGACTTTGTTGAATTTTTTCAGTTTGAGCATCCCATTCAGCTGCAACGGCTAAAGCTAAAGGCTCACTTTTTACATTAAACAAGTTCCCTTTTGGAGTCTTTAACTTACGTTGATCAAGTGTAATTTCAAAATTTCCGTTACTATGAAGGATGCCAGTTTTACGATAAAAACGTTTTCTTACAGCTATAAAAAACAGTAATATTCAGTACATAATAGAATAACTGTACCAATTTATATTGTAAGTACCAAACGTTCTATAATGGCTATAACTGATGACATTCTTTATACAAAGTAAATTTTGACTCTCATGCAAAACAGTGTTATTAAATTCAACTAAGCACTTTAATAAAATATTCGACATGTTTTACAATTGTAAACTAAATTTAAGCTGCAAATATATTAAGACGGGACATACAGAACAATCAAATTAAAATAAATATGTATCAATATGTATGGTTATGTTTATAGGTTATGTACATATGTGGTGGCTACATTGTAGCTATTCGGAAAGAAAAGATTCACCAATATTTATATTTGCTTGATGTTCAATTGTCAATAAATGATAACTAATGATTCGCACCGAATAAGGAAACTCCCAAAGTGCTTTTAGTACATATAAACCATTAAAATTCCGTAACATTAATTTTAAATACGGGACAACTTAAACTGCAATGCAAGCTTAATTAAAATGAGCTATCAGAAGTTAATCAAGACATATCAAATACGCATGATTGATTATGTCACTCAAAGAATATAAATAACCACTTCGTTTATATTCAACTTTTTTATTATTTTGTTTTCTTTGTATAAAATACATTAGCTATCCCAGTAGGTACTTATAATACCTTTTTCATCGTTTAAATACTTTTCAAACATTACCGATATTCACACATACGTACTATTTAATTATAGGAATGAATTCAAGAACAGAGAAAAAATGATTGGACGGTAAGATAAGTTACCTTTAAATGAACCAATAGTAACGAGAAGCATAATGATAACTGACGTATTACCAATATTCAATTTGATTTCAGTTCATATTTCAGTTTCAGCGCTACAGTTCAAGGATAAGCCATGTACACAAGAAACAAGGACAATAAAAAAGCTTCGTGGTCAATTAGAACAGTTTAAAATTTTTCACTTTAGTGCGGTATACTGAGCGCTAATGCAAATGTACGTGATTTTTAATTAAATGTTGTGACTTTTTAATTAAACGAATTTAAAATTAATTTGCTTTTAGATGTTGGAAGATGAAACCACCTTCATAGCAAACCAAAATGAATATATGAGAAAAGAATTGTGTAACTTATATAAAAGTAATAAGTTTTCAGATTGTATATTTTTGATAGGAAATGAAAAGATACCAGCTCATAAATTAATTCTTGCTCTAAACAGTCCCGTTTTTGAAAGAATGCTTTATGGCCCTCTCTCATCAAATGAAATTGAAATAGTTGACATTGAAGTTCAAGAATTTAAGCAAATGCTAGAATATATCTATTTGCATAAAGTAAAAATAGAGTCGATACCTAATGCTTGGAAACTTTTATATGTGAGTAGGAAGTACTTCTTGAATGAGTTGTATCAGTTGTGTACAAGCTACATTATAAGTAATCTCAATATAAGTAATTTACTTTTAAGTTATGAATATGCTGACTTTTTTAATATAACACCAGTGATAACAAAATGCCAAAATGACATTGTTCATTTTCCTACTGAAGTATTGTCGAGCAGTTATCATTTGCAACCTTGTACTTTTACTAAGCTGTTACTTTTTATCTATCCCTTCATATCAGTCAGTCAAATTCAAGAGCTTATTAACACATGGACTGCTGAAGAATGTAAAATTCATAATGTTAAGGTTACAGAATGTAATAAAGTCAAATTATTACATGAAGCAGGAATTTCTAAATTTATGTTAATTAATATTTTACAAAATTGTGTAGATAAAAAGGATGAAATTAATTCTACACTGCATACTCACTACCTCAAACTGCGAGCAGAATATAAAGTTGACAGAATTGTCCCTTTCAAATACAATTGTTCTTTTGTAACTGAAGTTAAAACAAATCAAAATGTATTAGTATTAGGAGTTGCTTTGCAAACTGGAGAAGCTCGTCCACCTTGTTCATTAAAGTGTTCTGTAATTGTAACTGTTTTAAAACGTGACGATAAGCTGTATCAAGTTAGTAATGTTTTATCTAATTGCTATGTTAAATTTCGTAATTCAGTGATTTTGTCGCCTAATGAAACTTATAAATTTGTTATCACGTATATTTTGGATTCTGATGTTTATTGTGGAGTAACATCTCTTTATATGGATTCGTGCCTAAGAAATAAGAAGAATGGGACTTTTTTTGAGTTCTGTGATGATCCTAAGGGTTCCGTTTTAAAAGGGCTCTCCTTTTATTTAGTTTAAATCTTTACTAGATTAAGTTTACAGTGAAGATCTGATTGTTAATTTTTATTTTAGTTTTTTGACCATTTAATCAAAACATGTTAAGTGCTACCTAGGAAAATTAATTTATTAAGAGCACCATATATTTACACTGATTTTAAATTTTAATAATTTAATTTTTAGTTTCATTAATGTTCCTAATTAGATTATAAATTTTAAGTCAACTTGAATCATCCTTTACATACATATATAAGCATTTTGAAAAATTAGAAATAAAATGATGTCACTATTTTTTTGTCATTAAAGTACTAACTGGCTATACAGGTTTTTTTTTTAATAATTAATGAGAATAAACAGGAAGTTACCACTTATGCATCGTGTGTATTATCATACTGACGCAACATAAAAATCACTTTACAAGCGCAGCTTTATATGGAAATGATATTCTTTTAGACCACTNTGGTTACCGTAGCTTTGTTATCGACAAAATGCGCTTAGATTACAAAACACCAATTACGACTATTTATTTAAAACCAGTGTATCCTGTAATTGCTTTCGTTATAGATTTGCCAAAAAATTATTATTTTGGTAACTGTTTCTTTGTTTTTGAAGGAAAATATATTAGTTAGATAGATGATAGATTTCTGTAAATTGTGTTGATTCAGATTCATATAGCCGACGTAAATACTCAATTGAATCGCTTTTACTTCTAATTAAGGGATACACATGGTGATTTTGTTTGTTAATTGAACAGAAATTGGTTGTGTGTTATGTATTGATTACAGTTGACATGCGTTTTCTTGTTTCTTTATGTTTATGTTTATGTTTATGTTTATGTTTATTTAGTAGAAGGCAGCAGTACAAAACTGGTAATATCTACATCATGTGTTACATTATCATAATAATAAGTGAAGCTACAAAAATAATATCACAGAAGTTAATTGATATAAACTAGACTAGCAAGAAGAATACTTATTGAGTTAGGCAATTCTTTATACATATATTTACATTGCATATCCACTATATATCTCTTCTCTATGGCTAACGTCTTTTCCATAGAAAATCCTTTCTAATCATCATAGATAAGCTAACCATTACTGAACTTTTGTTTATTTAATAATTAATTGTCAATGTTATCAATGTAGGTTATAAATGAGCTCTTTCTTTCATAATTTCACTTTTTATTCTAAATCTACCCCGTGAATTAATAAGCGAATTACGCAATTGTTGTAAACTGTTAAAATTGTTTCATACCAAACATAATGGATGAAACAAAATCCAATGTTCAACAAACTTTAGAAGACGAAGTTGTGCAAGACATTTTTCGAACAGGGACTGATTTACGCCAATATTCTCGACAAATAGAAAAGGAATTGAAGGAAGTTGAAAATAAATCTATAAGAGATTACATTAAAGAAGGTCAAAATATTGCAAATTTGCATAACCAAATCTCAGCATGTGATCAGATATTAGAAAGAATGGAAAATATGCTGTTAGGGTTTCAAAACGATCTAGGCAGTATTAGTAGTGAGATACTTTCTCTACAGCGTAAATCAATTTCCATGAGTCAGGAATTAACTAATAGACAAGCAATTAGAGGTCAGCTAAGCCAATTTGTTGATGATATGGTTGTATCAGAAAACTTAATAACAGGAATAATGGAGTCTGCCGTCACAGACAAAGAATTTTTACATAATTTGCAAATTTTAAATCACAAATTGAGTTTTGTTAAAGAACAAAGTTTTAAAGAATCCAGAGCTTGCCTAGATGTAAAAGATATCCTGGAAAAATTAAAAATCAAAGCAATGTCAAAGATCCGTGCATATTTACTTGAACAGGTTTATAAATTTAGGAAACCCATGACAAACTATCAAGTTCCACAAAACGTGATGTTAAAAAATAAATTCTTTTATGAATTCATTCTTTCAAATGAACGAAATGTAGCTCAAGAAATTTACAATGAATATGTGGATACAATGAGCAAAATATATTTTTCATATTTTAAATCATATTCTGGTAGAATAATGAAACTCAAATTTGAAGAAGGTGCTACTAAAGATGATTTAATGGGAATTGAAGATACTGCAAGAGGAATTTTCCACAAGGCTACATTAAAACATAAAGCAACTGTATTTTCAATTGGTAATAGGGGTGATGTTCTTGCACAGCAATTAGAGGCGCCTATTATAGTACCTCATGCTCAGTTAAAAAACAGAGTAAGAAAATTTTCAATAATACTTCACCAAGTCCTCTTAGTAATTTAAATGAATACAGTAAATAAAAAACATGTTTTATGATTAGAGAGAGGCCTGTAATAGAAACTACTAGTAAAACTTTTCTACTTTTCCATTAAGTCTAACTTTTCTCAATTATCTGTTTATCTTTTAGTATCCGTTTGAAGCTCTCTTTAGAAGTGAACAATATGCTCTGGTAGATAATGCTTGCAGAGAGTATTTATTTATTGCCGAATTCTTTATGTTAAAGGGAACGCAAATGCAAGCTCAAGAAATGTTTAATCAAATTATGGGTAAAACTTTAAGTCACCTTATGGTAAGATAGAGATCATATACATAATAAATATGTGGAAATTAAGAATATTATAAAATAAAATTAAAATAAAACTTAATA